AAAAATTTCAAAAAAGTATCAGGGGAGCATGACAATCAAGGAGGTATTCACTGAAATTAAAAAATTCAAAAATTTTTAAAAAGTATCAGGAGAGCATGACAATTGAGGAGATATTCACGGAAATTTGAAAATTCAAAATTTTTGAAAAAGTATCAGGAGAGCATGACAATTGAGAAGGTATTCACTGAAATTTTAAAATTTCAATTTCAGTTAATACCTGCTCGATTTTCATGCTCCCCCGATACATTTTCAAAAATTTCGAATTTTCAAATTTTAGTGAATATCAATTTCGTAAAGCAGAAAATCATATTCACCCCCTCGACTGATCCGTCTGACCGCGGGACTGCTACTAAGGCCGTTACCGAGTCGGCTGACGGACAGACCCCTCACTACTGCGTGCGGCCCCCCTTTCCCCCAGAACTGAGCCAATCAGTGGGGGTTTGACTGACCCCCCTGGCATTGTAGTACTGCACCCCAAGAGTGGAAGGGGGCCACACGCAGTGGTGGGGTGTTTACCCGTCAGCCAGAGGGATCAGCGAACAGGGTGAATAGTATTTTCTGCTTTACGAAATTGGTATTCACTGAAATTTGAAAATTTGATAAAAAGGAGGTATTCATTGAAATTAAAAAATCGGAAATTTTCAACAAAGTATCAGGGGAGCATGAAAATCGAGGAGCTATTCACTTAATTTTCAAAATTCGAAATTTTTGCGCGCCATATCTCGCAACAATATTATCCCAACTGTCGATACATCTGATGTATCGATACCCCCAGAGGGTAAAAATGTTAAAGAATCTGCCAATTCGATCCAAACCAGATCCATCCTCTTCTGCCCTCTGGATCCGCACTAAATCCTCAATAGATAACTTCCCTCCCTGTCTTTCCCGCTCATGTCACTAATCTCACATCCTGTTGACAGCTCCCCCCAATGATCCATGGATCGACTCTGATCTCAGGAGATCACTCCTGCAACTGAGGTTCATCCACAAATTTTGTACGCCAGGTTGAAAAAACAATTGATCAAGTGAAAAAGACATTGAAAACTCAAGTCCTTTTGAATCTCATCACGTGACTGTGTCGCTCTTGCTGGCACGCAAGTGTGTTTTCTGGTGTTGTGCCTCGGAGGGGATCCAAAGTATCGCGACGTGCACCAGCAGCAGCCTGTGTCCCACTGAGTGCATCACAAACGTTTTACAATCGTCAAATAAACCATCAGAATCCCATCAACAATTCGAGGGTAAAAATTACCCCCGATATAGTGAGAGTGAATTAGTGACAATGGATCAGGGCTAACGAGCTCGTGATATCAAGGATTTTAACGTGCACCCGATTTTCGGTTGTCTTCCATATTTTTGGAGACACCTGGACTACTGTGGGCAGTTATCAAGTGACGTGACACTCTGGCGTTGTCAATTTGATCATCTGGTTATTGTTGATACTTCGTTTGTTATGGCGATGTGGTGTGATAGAAGTGGAAGTACACGAAATGGGGCACGCTGAGGCCCGGAAGGAATACCGGGTGTCATCGACGGAGGTATGGATGTCATCGGGGATGGTGATGAGCAGACCCTTCAGGCTATTCTTGGTGAGAATTATTTATGTTTATTTATACATTGTCTCGTCTTTCTTTTTCTTCTTTTCCTTGAGACACTGCAGCGAAATCGAGGAATTTTCCAATAGTTCGTTGACCCCACTCTCGTGACCGCAAAAAATCCCCCACTGGGGAAATTATCCCACCGTTTTTTCCACACTTTATTTCGAATTTTTACGCATTTTTGTCTATTCATTTGCGAACCGTGAAATTCGAAATTGAGGGGTTCGAAATTTATGCGTCTTCAAAATGCAACGAGAGACTTTTTTTTGTCATTTTCCTTTGGTTTTTGCTGTTTTTTTTTAATCCTGGAGATATGTACGAAACAAATAAAGAGTACATAGAGCACTCGTTGCCCTATGATAAAGCCACGTGTATTTACCATAAATTTATTGAATAACAATGGGTTAGGGAATAGTTTGTAGGATGATATGACAGAAATAAGAATGACAGTCCCAAAACGAAAACCTGCCACTGAATTTTTCCTCAAGATGGACTGAAAAAGTTGTATCGACGGTGGAAATTGCAATGAGTGCAACACTTGTCCTCTGTACGTGGACACTTTACCCTACTTTTTCCCAAGATATTCCCCCTTCACACTGGCAAAAAGACCTCAATCGAGAAAGAAGTTTTTTTTTTTATAAATACGCATTACACGATGCAGCTCGGTGCATACCTGTTACGCGTGTTTCATGCTTGGCAGATTGCGATGCGCAATCGCGTTGCATTGTATATATTGTCTCCCCTTTTCACGGTGTTCTTATCACTTTGATTTTCAACGAATTTCGGTTTATCTCGGCTCTCGGAAACTCGTGGCAATAGACAAGAATTCATCTCGCGTCATTATAGTTAATTTATCCATCAAGCCGGTTAGATGTATGAATAATGAATGGAGGAGTGATTCTCCATTATATTGATTCTCACGAATTAATTAATTATGGGATACCGATTATCATTCAATTATCCACTGATTCTTGTCCGGTGAACGTCAATGTCATTATTATATTATTCACTGTTATAAATTTCTCATTTTTTAAAATTATTTCTTGAGTTTTCACAATTTATCATTTGAATTCAAATTGCAGTATTGCAATGAATATTCAATACACGTAATTGAAAAGATGGGAAAAATGCAGATGGAATTTGTGGAATGCAGATAAGCGTTCCGGGAATTTAGAAATTTTAGATCAATCAATCAATAATAAGTCAATCGATGATGAATAATAATTATTAATGAGACCATAACATTTGGAGGTGGTGGGGTAGGGCCAGTGATTAATTCTGAGATGTATTTTCTTTGAGACGTAAACAAATTTTTTGATTCGATGGAAGCTATTGAATTTTTATCGAAATATTATTTGAAACATTGGACATTTATCGGAAATGGAGTTGTCGTGATGGTCTGGTGATATTTAGCATCTCGGGGGTAGGAGTATGGAAAAAATATTAGTGGAGAGGGCAAATGGAAAGGCGAAGATGGTCGGATTGCATTTGGCTGTACAAAGCCTTTCGCATTTTACCACTTGCTCAGTACACCTTGTACCACACGCTTTCTGACGTCACAGCTACACTGCGTACATTCACCTCATTAAGTACCCATAGCATCCATGATCTAGGACAAAGGTTAGAGCATTATTGAGAGGGGAGCAGTTACAATTCGAATTTCTTTCTGAGGTTTTCAGGGATTTCCTCTTGATTGTCACGTTTTTTCCAGATTTTTCTCACTATTTTTCCTCTTAAATTCTCAAAATTTGTTGCTATTCAAATGTTGCTGACATTTCAGGACATCCTGCAATTGAAAATTTGGAGTTTCGTGGGAAAACTCAAGAGTAAATTTCCGTAAATGTCCGTTCTACTTTTCCCTGAAAATGAATAGAAAAACAGAAAATTGAGGTAAATGTATGGGAAATCGTGAAATCATGTGAGATTGAGAATACGAATTAGACAGAATTTTACAAGTAAAAATTTTATCAAGAGACAATATTTCAAAAATTCGACACGGATGTAACGAAAAATTTAAAGGGAATTTCAGCTTTTAGAAGGAATTGTTTTGACTTCACGCGAGTGCCTCATGTAACATTGTATTTGACTTGTAATTAATCGTGATAGCGTTATCAAGTACATTAAGAGCGAATTTATGTGCTGAGAATCAGTGACGTTAACATCGTCTTTAATGATGATTTTTGCTAATTTACTTTTGGGTTTTATTTGTGATTATTCCGGTCATTGATGACTGGCTATTTTTAATTCGATAGGAGAGCTTAATGCTTCAATCAATTTGTCGTGTTTAATTCTTCCAATGGGAATGCCGGTGTTTTCCCATTCCTCAATATTTTTTGAATGAAAAACTTCGGAAATCTCAGGTTCTAGACAAATCATATAGACGGTTCCCTAGAATGAACAAAGAAAATTTTCCCTGAAGTCTCGTGTGCAATTGCACTGAGTACTGTTTAAATTTGACTCGTGAGCGGGCACGTGGTAGTGAATGAGAAGATTCGATTGAAAAAAGTGCAGGTACTTGTATCAACTTCAATTACCAGGAAATTACATAACTGAGGCTTTTTACGCGGCCTTTTGGGAGCGTTCGAGGACATGCGGTGGATTGAGTAACGAAAATTTTCGTAAATATGAAGGAAAAAAATTACCGAGTGAAATCTGTCGCTCAGATGAAATTACAGTGATAATTCAATAAATTGGTGCACGCCAATTTATCATTTCATCGACACTCTCACTTTTTTAATTTGATTCTCAATTAAAATCTTCAAACAAAATTACGCAAATGGGTTAAGAAATTCTTCTCCGAGTAATCTTTAGAATCATTGATAAATCACAATTTTTCATATCGTAATTATTGTAATTACTTTAGAAATAAATGTCACCCCGAAAAAATCATTTCCCGATAACTTGAAGTGTTTTTTTTATAGATATTTTTAATTGAATTCCTAATTCAAATCAGGAGTGAACATTTTTTTTAATCTAAAAAAAATCAGAATATTATATCAGAATATTATATCAGGGGATTATGGGAGTTTTTTTTTTAATAATATATTTTCTGAGTGAAAATGTGGGAATCTATAGTCTAGTCCACACCAAATTGTGAAAGGTACTTGAATATCCAATGAATGGATTGAGGGAGAAGTGTGTTAGTGGCAACTTGAGGTGTGAATAGGAGGAAAGAATCAATGGAGATCGGCGTGAAAGGAACTTGGTAATTGCACACCAATATTTGTACCTCGAATATTCAGTCCCAGACAACTGGAAATAGATTCGAATTTTGAGGTGGAAATTCAGTAAAACCCGAAGAATCTCACACATAGTCTTATCATAGTCTCCAAAAATTCTCCAAATTCCCTCGAGTGAAACTCACATTTAATTAATTAATTAACTCTCGTCTTCTTCATTTCATTTTTCATTGAAAATTTCAATAATAATTTTATATATATTTTTATATTTTTATAAATAATTTATTTATTGATAATTATATTTTTCATCAAAAATAGAATGATAAAGACAAGAATTTACGAATGAATTGAACTGTCATGTTAATTCGCGAATTATCGAATCAGTAGTTTAGAGGATTATAATTAATTGATGTTTACGTCTGATGGCTTTTTCCACCCCAATTATCATCAACCCCTGACATTAATTCTCTCTTGGACTGATAAATCCGGTTGTCCTGCCTCGGCTGACAGTTTGATTTATATTTTCCGTAAAAAGAGTCGCAAAAATAAAAAAAAACCAAACGATAAGATGCAAAAATCAGCGATGGCCGTCACAAGGGTTGAGCGCAGTCTCCGAATTTTTTCGAGGCGCGATTCACCCCATTGGACACCCGAGAAAACGCCCATTTCGTCTCCAACGCGAATATCAACGCATGCGCTTTTATTTACCCCTGAAAATAACACTCTCTCCTCCGTTGCATAAATAAAACAATTTTTCTCATATCTGCAGGTAGTAATCTGCGTAATCACAGGATTGGCACTCATCAATTCTCAAGTCATTACAGGGAAATTACGTTTGGTAATAATTCGGACTAATTATGAAAGTCGCGGATATTGTTCCGAACCTCTGGCGAACGATTTTCTCTCATTTTTCCCATTTTTTCAACCGTCAATCACGCTTTCAGTGATATTTTTAGCGATTTTCATCGATCCAGTAATCAGAGTATAATAATCTCAAATAACAATTCATATTTTGCATTCCACATTTTCATTCGTTATTCCTTGAAAAATCATTTCTCTCGCCAAATATCTTTTCTTGTAATTACATACATACACATATATACCACACATATGCAATAATTTAATTCACTCCACATTTCCCAATTTTTTGCAAATTTTCCGATAAGAATTCTTTAATTTTTCTCATTCATAATTACGAGCGTTAGGTTGAGTTTTCTGAATATTCCTCTGCATTCACTGCGACAAAAAATATTCTTTTAACAAATTAATTAGCTTCTGCCAAGTAAATTACTTGACACAATTAGAGGTACAGACTAATAAACATTGAAATATATGAATTTCCTTATCGTCAGGATTTACTCCGCAAAAATGATTATTTTTCTCCGTGTGTGCGTCAGTCGTATAATTAATTCGTATAAATTAGCTCTCAAATATGAGACGTATTCAATAAAATTATGCATAAGTTATTGTTATTATTAATAACCCGTGGGTTAATGGGCTGAAAAGCTCAGAATGGCCTCAAATTTGTGTGGAGGGTCGTGGGTTTTGAGCATCGATTAAACAATCCGCCCTCGTCCCCTCATCGACCTTCGGACTGAACCTCCCCTCAATTCCACCCCCCACTCTACCCTATTCTATGTACATCTCCCTCAAAATACTCGTTTATGTGCAACTTGTATGTGTACACGTGCATCTATCATTACATTTTACTACCGCACGCGAAATCGATCCCTCAATTGCCATTTCCGACTTATCAAATTTTTTCCCTCATGAATGTCCAAATGCCAACGATTTTTCATACTAGATTGAGTG